CGATCCGCCTGTCAATCTCCCGTTTCATCCTTCCCTCACTCGTGAACAAGACCCCAAGATACTTGAACTCCTCCACTTGAGGCAGGAACTCTCCACCAACCTGAAGGGAACAAGCCACCCTTTTCCGGCTGAGAACCATGGCCTCGGATTTGGAGGTGCTGATTCTCATCCCAGCTGCTTCACACTCGGCTGCAAACCGCCCCAGTGCATGCTGGAGGTCCTGGTTTGATGGGGCCAACAGGACAACGTCATCTGCAAAAAGCAGAGACGAAATCCTGTGGTCCCCAAACCAGACTCCCTCCGGCCCCTGGCTGCGCCTAGAAATTCTGTCCATAAAAATAATGAACAGAACCGGTGACAAAGGGCAGCCCTGCCGGAGTCCAACATGCACTAGAAACAAGTTTGACTTACTGCCGGCGATGCGAACCAAGCTCCTGCTCCGATCGTACAGGGACCGGGTAGCCCTTAGCAAAGGGCCCCGGACCCCGTACTCCCGGAGCACCCCCCACAGGGCGCTGCGAGGGACACGGTCGAATGCCTTCTCCAGATGCACGAAGCACATGTGGACTGGTTGGGCAAACTCCCATGAACCCTCTGCCACTCTGAAGAGGGTATAGAGCTGGTCCAGTGTTCCACGGCCAGGACGAAAACCGCATTGTTCCTCCTGGATCCGAGGTTCGACTATCGGTCGAATTCTCCTCTCCAGTACCCTGGCATAGACTTTCCCGGGGAGGCTGAGGAGTGTGATCCCCCTATAGTTGGAACACACCCTCCGGTCCCCCTTCTTAAAAAGAGGGACCACCACCCCGGTCTGCCAGTCCAGAGGCACTGTCCCCGACTGCCATGCGACGTTGCAGAGGTGTGTCAACCAAGACAGCCCGACAACATCCAGAGACTTAAGGTACTCAGGGCGGATCTCATCCACCCCCGGTGCCTTGCCACCGAGAAGCTTCTTGACTACCTCAGTGACTTCAGCTTGGGTGATGGACGAGTCCACCTCTGAGCCCTCAGCCTCTGCTTCCTCATCGGAAGACATGGCGCCGGGATTGAGGAGATCCTCGAAGTATTCCTTCCACCGTCCGACAATGTCCCCAGTTGAGGTCATTAGCTGCCCACCTCCACTGTAAACAGTTTTAGCAGGGCACTGCTTCCCCCTCCTGAGGCGCCGGACGGTTTGCCAGAATCTCTTCGAGGCCGACCGATAGTCCTTCTCCATGGCCTCACCGAACTCTTCCCAGACCCAAGTTTTTGCCTCCGCCTCATAGAAAGACACCTGGATTATATTCCTTGTTTAAACCACTGAGATGTAGAGTTTTAAGGGTTTGTATCCAGAAACATTCCCGTTTCAATAAAGATTTTTCAATATCTCCACATCCCTGATTCATTCAATCTTTTTCTATACTAGTGCAGTAAAACCTTGGATAGCAAGTAACCTCATCTGTGAGTGTTTTACAAGACGAGCAAAAATTTTAATTTGATAAACGAGCGAGGTCTTGCAATACAAGTAGTACGTACGCTTTGTCTGCCAAGCATCACATCACAGCTGAGCCGATGGTTCTCGCGCCTCAATCGTATAGTCAACATCTGTACTGCAACAATGTCCCCTCACGCCAGCCACAATTCTTTTCAAAGGTAAAGTGCAGGATGATTTGTTTTATTTTTAATTTATAGTGTATTTTGTATTACTGTAATTGTTTTTATATGGACAAGTGGTTGTGGAATGAATCATCTTGAGTTTCCATTATTTATTATGGGGAAATTCACTTTGATATATGAGTGCTTTGGATTATGAGCACGTTGCTGGAATGAATTATACTCGCAATCCAAGGTTTTACTGTATAGCAAAATGATATGGCAGCTTGGTCTGAATAAAAATTCAGAATAAGAATCAGAATCAGCTTTATTGGCCAGGTGTGTTGGACACACAAGGAATTTGACTCTGGTACATCAGCTCTCAATGTGTTTTTACATGTCCTTATGTAAGGAAGCAATGGGCAAGTAAACAGTATAAGGTTGAGAGAACAGAAAGGAAAGAAAGTAATGTGTAATCAAGCAAAAGGAATGTGCATTAGGAAAAAAGATGAAATTCTTCTTCTTCTTGATACTGTTTATCGATCCGGTATTTTAACGGTACTCTTATTGGTACTTTTTTATTTTTTAAGAGAGAGAAAGAAGAAAAATTAAGGTCATAATTAGCATTGCTTTATTTTCTCATGTGCTGTTAACATTCTTGAGTAGCAAACTTCAACAGCATTGTTTTGAATAAATCATTAGATAATGTTCTTAATGAGCTAAAATAAGTTAAACTTGATGAAATCTGCAGAAATCCTGTGTGAAGCACATTACTTTCTGACCAAAACTTTGTCACCTTCACTGTGCAGCTGCAAGAGGGCGCTGAAATCCAGATGGCTTATCACATCTAGGTTCATCCACTGCATTGATCCAGTAATAATTGATCCAGTAATTGCAAAGTATTGCTAGGATCAGTTCTTGTACACAGCTCTGTGATTAGCTGGTCGTGTTGCTGTTCCAATAGTTATGGAGACTAGTCAGTGTGTTGCTCTTTGTGTTTTACAGTGGAGACTCTTGGGTGTAGCTACCCAATGACACAGATGGACAGGGCTTATTACTGTGTAACAAGCTTACATAGCATATATTTGGCTGAAAAGTTGTATTTTAACATTATTCTAAATGCATTTTCAGACCAACAAAGCAAAAATTCAGAGGTAATTTTAATAGGTTAACACTAATCTGCATCATTGTACTAATAAGTTCCAGCATAAGTGTTCTTACGATTTTCACCACAGAAACGTATACTACTCCAACACACAGTAAGCTCGCTGAGCTAGCTGTCAGCTAGTTAACACCCTAGCTAACTGCACCAGAGATCAGAGATAATCTGTTATCTGCAGTGTATGTGGTGATCTCGGGTGATATGACCTCTCCATTAATGTAGATGTGTTACCAGCTTTGAAACATTTATAGTAGGCTGTAGGAACCAAACAGGACCAAGACTGTTAACTTGAGTTTACTATAGCTATCTGTTTTAAAAGACAGTACATGAAATAAATAAACGGGTCACATAAGGTCCCAACTCTGACTCAAACTGATGCACTACAACAGCTGTTATATAGAAAATTGACTCGTGCTCTTGTTTGATCTCATTCATAGATGTGATTCTCTCCCTCTCACACAATTAGATTTTTATACATGATCCAAAATTCTGTACAAGAATTTAATTAATGTGGTCTTGGTAAATGGCCTTGTACTTGGATAGCGTTTTTCTATGCATTGCAACACACTCAAAGTACTTTCACACTATTTGGCCATTCACACACCAGTGACATCACCTGGGGGGTTCAGTGTTCTGCTCAAGGACACTTTGAAATGCGGACTGGAGAAGCCAGGATTCAAACTGCCGACTTTCCAGTTAGGAGATTACCCGCTCATCCTCCTGAGCTACAGCTGCCCAATATTAAAGATGCAGTACAGTGCAGCCCAAAACTAACTTGATTTCACTGAGTTGATATTCAGTTTTAAAACAGCTTCTGTTTAACAAACTATACATACATTGAAGTGTGTGTTTAGGCTGGATAATAAAAGTATGTTTCTTCATTGGATAATCACCTTTATTGGCCAAGTACACACAAGGAATTTGTTTCTGGTACAGAACCAACAGCAGCCATCTGCGGCGCCAACTCAACCGATGGCTCTAACCATTGGGGGCAACTTAGGGTTTCAGTGTCTTGCCCAAGGACACTTCGACATGTGGACTGCAGGCACCGAGATTCTAATTACCAACCCTCTGGTTGGGAGACAACTGCTCTACCCACTGAACCAAAGTTGCCCCCCAGCAGCTTTTTATTTCAAGTAGCAAAAACTAAATACATGAAGCATGTCTCCTCTTTTCACCACTGTTAAACAATGGGTTCTTGTGCACAGTAAACATTTGCTCTTTGTTCACCTGGTTCTTCATCTTGTGATGTGCTAGGATGCATATTTCACTGAAATCCTGCTGACTTGTTATTGTCTACCTCAGTTCAAGAGTTGGTATCATTTGCTGAATCCCACATTTATAGCAACACCAAAAGGCACATGTCCTTGCAAATGAAATGGTTTACAGCTTCACTTACTGACGTCAGCTGGGTGGAGTTGTCTTCCCGCTCTGATTATCTAGTGCGAGCACACACGAGCACATCTCTATGTATTTATATGCTGTCATGTAGCCAAACGTGCCTCCACCCCCCACTCTGTAGTCAGCTGGAACACTTTCATAGAGCATTTAGTATATTCAGTAGTGACTGTCAACACTGATGTCTGATAATGTGTTTGTGTTGTTTTCCAGTTGTCATACAATAGCTTATGAATGCAGTGCTATTTGGCTGCTGAATGGTGAAACTGTGCTGTCAAACCTTAATTTCAGCACCTGAATGCAGCACCAGGAGAGAACGCTCATTTTAATACTATTCAAATAAAATGAACAAACTTGAGGGGAAACCCTGTGAAGATGTTTCCCTATAATATATTGGCTATGCTGAGCAAGTGTCAAGTCTGATTCTGATAATGTACTAAAATGAATTGAAGCTAATGGGTCATGGGGGGGGGGGTCTGATGCTCTGTCGATTAATTCCTACATTTGCATGCACCTCTGCTCCTTGTCCTACCAGCACATACTGCTGTGAGGAGTCCACCATCTAGTTAGGAAATAGAATTGTTGATATCTAACTGGAGTTCTTTGTCTGTGTCTTGCAGTAATTCAATCTCTCATTGCACTGGTGAACGACCCCCAGCCGGAGCATCCCCTGAGGGCAGACCTAGCAGAAGAATACTCAAAGGACCGTAAAAAATTCTTGAAGAATGCTGAAGAGTTTACAAAGAAACACGGGGAAAAGCGGCCAATGGACTGATCACCTGACACGCGTATAGCCCTCTGTTTCTTTCTTCCTCTTCCTCTCTCCTCCTATATCACCTGCCTGACCAAATACAGATCTTCCTCTTGCCTCTCTGCTCTCCTCTACACCTCACCACCTTTCTCTCTCACTCTTGTCCCCCTTCTTTCCCACACTGGTCCACCCTGCAGCCCAGGAGCTGGCCATCTGAAGCTAAACAGGGGCAGCCTCAGCTTTCTTCCCCATTCGGGACTCTGTGGATCAGACAGCTTCCTTCCCCACCTCTTCTTTCTCCTCATCCATAAACCATAAACATCCTGACCATTTCTGACTTTCTACTTTTTTCCTACAGTGAAAAATGGAAAAAGAAATGCTAAGGAAACATGATGTTCAGGTAGTGTTAGATGGAAATACTGTATGTTAAATTTCTGTTGGCTTTTCCTCTATATAAAGAGCTCGTGTATTAAATAGATTTCACTTAGACTTGATTTTTCTGAAGAATTCTTTGCAGAGCAGGAGAAGTGGTTGAATACTTTTTTTTAAGCTAAAAAAAAAAAACAATGACAAAAGGAGAGAAGCTGTAGCTAGGAGCTGGAGGTTTGTGCTGGCTGAAATGTTTCCCTTTCTCACCGCCACTGCTTGTAGACTTGCACTGTGCTCTGTGGAACATTCCCGTCACGTCTCCTTCCTCACAGTTTGTACCCCAATGAGCAGAAACAATGGCAGGCCGAACATGAATTGAATTGAATTGCTACTGTTGAAAATGCTGCAGAAGATTGAGTGTTAAAACCACGGCTTTTGAAACACAGTTATTGTCTGTAGACCCTTAAATACAAATTTAACAGTGCACTCCACACTTTTCTCAGAGGTCCTTTGTAACACAGGTTTTTACAACACAGATCAGTGACCATGCTGTAAATGTCTTTTCAATCTCAAATGGCTACTGTGATTTTCTTTGTCTTATTTTTAATAGTTTGCTTTCTCCACCAGAAGTGATCTTGATTGGCACTTGATTGGCACCGATATATAAAATTAGTGGGAACATGGGAACAACCTGAGTTTATTTGAATCTTCCAAGCATGTCTCCTCTCCCAATGTTGGGTAATCCAGTATAACCATCTATCACATCAGAAAAAGGGCCTTTTACCACACTGAAACATATTCCAGTGGCAGATTAACTGTCAGATGCCCAGCTGAAAGGGACACACAGCAGCCAGAGAGGGAAGGAGAAGCTGGAGAAGGATGAACTCAGCTGCAATGGAGCTCAGCTCCTGGAGGCGGTCCTAGAAACAAGCATCTTGAAGTCAGCTGGGAGAGGGCTGGCTGTCCAGCGGTGTTTCCGGACATGCAAAGGGACTGCAGTGGCCAAAAATCCACCATGTAACATCTGTTTGATCTGGTCCCAATATTGTTTCATAATAAAGATGGCTAACCATTTGGCCTCACTGTCTGCCTGGTAGTCAAGTGGATGTTGCACACATTTGGCTTGTAATGAACGGCCAGGAGCAGAACTAATTGAAACCCGTCAACATGAGTGTATTTTAAGTAGCAAACATTATATGTCAGGATTATGTGGCTACTCTATACTCGCTTCAACAATAAAAACTAATGTGAAATACAGTCAATAGCTCTTGAGGGAGTTGGTAGGTTGGCCAGATGTTTTTCTGCCAACTAGTTTCCAAGGTAAAGATTGAACTTTATTGTTCAACTGTTGGCCTGTAGTTCAAGTCCATATTAGTATTTGCCATGTTTAATCACATTTACTACAGATCATGTGTGACATGGTGATGCCATGTCTGTTAATCTAGAACACAATTTAAAAAGCCATTTTAGGAATTTAGCTGAGATGGTATCCATATAATATGCTAAAGCTGTTTTATTGGCACTGATAACTTGTGTATAATACAAAGGTATAAAGTAGTTTCCAACAGTTAAAGGCACAATTTTCTTCCCTTTTCATCTGAACTAAAAGTACTGAAGTGTTCTCCAGCATATGCTGTAGTTGAACTTTAATACTGATGACTATTTGCAGTGAGAGAACAAGCATTCACATTCTGTAAATGTAAAATGGAGAAACATAAAACTACTTAAATACAAGTAGAAGTTCAGTTTTCAAAATGTCTAGGTAGAAATACAGAAAATTGGATTAAGTATTAAATGTCAAGTTTCCTGTTGTGACTTTAATTATACATAATTGGATTGTTAACACTAATGCAGTATTTTGTAAAAAGCATTGTAGCTAGTGGCTGGGTTAAAAATGGATAGCGAAATGTACAGTATGTCCCTCTGAAATGTTAATGGCATGAAGCCCAAGTATCTCAAAACTATAATTAACATACTTGGATGCTTTTAACCACTTGCTATTTAGCAGTCTTTGTTAATCTATTAATTGGGTGTAAAGCAGGCCGCTAGTCAATTGTCAGTGTGTAAAAACACTGGCTTGTCAAGCTTTAAGAGAACATGCAAAATCTGGATTGTAATTACATCTTAAAGTGAAAAATGTAAGTTACAGTTACTGTTTTTACTCGGCCTTTATTTGCAAGTATTTTTACCACAAGAATTTGAAAAGTAAAAATCTTCATGGTGCAACATATTAATTATGATGAAAGCAGCTTTTAATACTGTACCTGGTGAACAAAGTTTTAACAGTTTTACATAGTACTTGATAGTTTATAATTGTAACATATTTCAAAAGCTTGTAAGTAAAATTTAAATCTGATCTAACAACAAACGCTGTGGAATGAAATGTACAATAATTGTGTCTGAACTGTAGTCATGTAGAAATATAAAATTAAAACACTCAATAAGGTAGGTGTAATTTAAGTACAGTTCTTAAGTAAATTTACTTTGCATACTTTCCACCACTGTCCTCCAATCTTCCTCAGCTCTCAGTGGTGCATCCAGCCAATAGGAATCACGTCTGTCTTAAAGTGATTGATGTGTACGTCTACACTGTCTTAACTATGGCCAGTTAGCAAAAACTAGTACCCAAGGACAGAGAGAGAACTGATCTTTCAAAATTGAGAGTATTAGGGGAGGATGCTAACAACAAAGACATGCTGATTTTTGAATTATTCCTTTATGCTGAGAGATGTTTTGTTCCCCCTCTGAGGGTGCATGATTATAACATTTACACTCACTGATGGATTACATAAAACAGTTTCAAGTAATTACACATCAGTTTACATAATTTGTTGAGATGAACTAAGTGCAGAAAAGGTCAGAAAAACATTAAGAAAATCTGTCATGACAGCATGCTTTGGGAAATGTGAGCGGTGAAGTAATTTATTATGTGAATAACAATAAAAGAATTTAAAACATTGCTGTTTTAGTTTCAGTATCCTTTGTGCACTAAAAGTTGTGCTGTGCTTGGAAAAGGGATCAATACACATAATAATGCATACTCAGCTGGAAGTTTAATTCTGATAGTAGAGAGAGGTTGATCAGATCTAATATGGGCATGTTGATTAGGGGTAAGATGTCTTTGAGCAGCCTAGTCGGGATGGGGTCTAAGAGACATGATTTAGATGAAGCGATTGTTGAGGTCAACTCAGAGATCTGTCTAATAGGTGTGATTTTATTTGTAAAGAATCTCTCTCTCTCTCCAGTGGGTATGGAAAGTATTCAGACCCCCTTAAATTTTTCACTCTTTGTTATATTGCAGCCATATGCTAAAATCATTTAAGTTCATTTTTTTCCTCATTAATGTACACACAGCACCCCATATTGACAGAAAAACACAGAATGTTTGACATTTTTGCAGATTTATTAAAAAAGAAAAACTGAAATATCACATGGTCATAAGTATTCAGACCCTTTGCTCAGTATTTAGTAGAAGCACCCTGTTGAGCTAATACAGCCATGAGTCTTTTTAGGAATGATGCAACAAGTTTTTCACACCTGCATTTGGGGATACTCTGCCATTCCTCCTTGCAGATCCTCTCCAGTTCTGTCAGGTTGGATGGTCAACGTTGGTGGACAGCCATTTTCAGGTCTCTCCAGAGATGCTCAATTGGGTTTAAGTCAGGGCTCTGGCGGGGCCATTCAAGAACAGTCA